AAAAGAATTATCGCAGACCATTTTCCCCATGCAATCAACGGAGACAGCTAGGTGAGCTGTTCATGCAACAGTAGTTTGCATGATCACTGGCTGTGCGAACTTGTCAATAAGTCCTAAGAAGAAGCTGGAACAGTCTACAGCACCCAAGAAAAACAGGTGTTTAGGTAGATAGGTAGGTAGGTATGGACGTATATGAATTTCACTTGGAGCTTTACCCTGTGAAATGGAAGTAATTGGGAACAAAGTTATTAGTAAGGTATTAGTTATGTGCACCTTTGAAAACTTTTAAAAGAGGAACTAAAATAATTTCAACAAAATTATGAAATGTGTCTTTAAACAGGCAGCATAGAAGCTGCATCTATCACGTATCCGACCCTAATGATAGCATCGTATTAACCTATTCGTCTCCACAATTCATAGCATTCAAAGACCATCGCAAAAAGCATACAAGTCAACATTCCTGATACTCTAGCTCCTTACAGGGTCTCAACAGCAAATCATAGAAAACTACGAGGCCTCTGTTCGGCTGAGGTGACAGAAATGTCCTGTGAACTTCAAGAGAAACCAGTCCTTAGAACACCACCCAACTGCTATTTGAGCACCGAAGTAGGTGCATGCTACATAAAAGGCCAGCCACCACCCTCCATGTATGTGACAGACAGTCTAACGGCAGTGTCAGCACAGCAGGCGAGTTAATGAGGTCAGCAGGACACTGATAAACTGAAGATTACCTTAAACTGACGTGTAATACGATTGCCTGCAATCGCGTTGCAAACCAAACAATACCTTACAACACAAGCAACGAACCTCTTGTCGCATAAGAACCCCTTCCGCCAGCTTTCGCTACAAGATGCGGCAAGATGCGCCCAAAGTTTTCGCCGCTTCATCGGTAGTCGATCGCATTATTGGAGCTACTGCTTCATATTAATAAGAGATCGATTCAGTACGTAAGGTACGTAGGTAGCTTACGATCTCGCCACTATCGGGCGACGGTGGCCAGCGCAGACGCGCAGAGGCGGAAGTGGCCCAGGCTGGTTGGGAATGGAATGAATGCTAGTTTTTACTCAACAACTTTGCTGAACTACTGTTTCGAACAAAGCATTTCAATATTTCAGCCTGGCAATAAAGAAAAACATGTCATCAAACAAATCGTATCGCATTACAAAATGGTCAGTATGGTGAGCCTGGCATCGCAGATGAAATTCTCCTAGGTGACCTAAACCGGTTGTGCGTTGTGAACAGGGCTAGTGATGTATTGAGGAGCATATTTGCTGAAAGAAGTCACTGTACTGTGTTTAACAGCCTTTTTCACTGTAAAGAATGTTGCTCATATGAAGATATTGAAGTAAGCATCAGACATGATAAAATAAACTCACCTATAACTATTGGTATATTCTTGGTGAAGGAGACTTCTCAAGACAACATAACTATGTTAAGTACGTATTCTGAGCACGTCATTATTTGATGATGTCATCGTACCTTGCACGACATTGATTGACAGCCAGCTGACTGCCGTTATGTCTGGAGATCGTGCTCACGAACGGGAAATATGTAAGACTCGACAAGACTAGACTTTGTCGCGACCTCGATCGTCGCATCACTAATGGAATGGCAGGATTTAAACGACGTGATTATTGCGTCATGGATGTCTCGGTGACCTTTAAACTGTCTCCTCGAAAAAGTCCGCACATCTTCGCGGTCGTGCAGCACAGCACTCCATGCAGATATGGGACACTCCATTTAGAAATATGCGATGTTTGTATGTCAGCTCATTTCATTTTATGTGTGCCTGCACCAGTGTGGAACATTTCCTTTCACGAAGCCCTTCATCGGCACAACCAAGGAAGCTGCGCTACCCCTCCCCTTTCCCGGCACACCGAGTTATTTTTTAGCGATAGATGGCTGCTGAAAGTAATTTAAGAATTACCGCGATGCGTTCTCACCGCGGTGCCCCTAACAAAAATTCTGGCCACGCATTAGAAGCACCGCATCGAAGAATATATATATATATATATATATATATATATATATATATATATGTGTGTGTGTGTGTGTGTGTGTGTGTACATATGTGTGCGTGTATACATTTCATTTCACGGTTTTACACGTGCTCCACGTGCTCACGGCTCCTTCACGTGCTCCACAATTACCTGCACTCAGAATCAAACAAGTAACACGTCTTTGCAAGTGTCACGTCGCTGCGTGACATAACTTCGTAAATATTTACATGCAAATATGAAATAGTTCGACTTTCCGGAAAAGTTTACTTGCGGGCTGGCTTAGTAGGGTCAATTATTGACATCTGAACTGGAGATATATTACCACTGGTGAGACATCGTTGCGACCAGACCACCGTTCTTTCCTCAGAGACTATCCCTTTCAGCTTTGAAACTTCATGGGAATCGCATCGACCCCCTCCCCCTCGCCCCTGTCAGTCGGCGTTACAAAAAGCGTGGGTCAGCGCCTTAATTGAGTTAGGCTGTCGAATAATTTTGAATTGAATTATATTTCACGCCATTTTGAAGGTTGTGTCACCAAATGGCTAGAAAGCAATGCCTTTTGTAACCGACGACATTTGGCAATTGTGGCTTTCTATCCTGGTAAAAGCTTCCCTTAAGCCGTATTCAAAATATCCAGTCTCACCAGACACCTCCATTCATGACATACAGGTGTCTGGCGTTCCGAATGATTTGTTACAGAAAACAGTGGTATTTCTCTCTTTTCTGCCCAATTTCTACTGCGTTGACTTTGGATCAGTAACTTTAACTTCTCCGTAACGCACGGAACGGAAAACTTCAGAGAGCACAACACATTCACCTTTGACGGCACAAATTACCGGAAAATTTTGGGGCGGAACTTGAATGGTAGTTCCATCTGCCACAGCGCACTACCCAGCTGGCGGCGGACCGTTTTCTAGCAACGCTTGTTTTTCTTCCCAAGCACGCTAAAGTTGTCCGCCGCTCCGGCATCGGGATCAAATGATGCTCCCACCGGTGGACGTTAGCCGAACTTCCATCACCTCCATTAGCTATCCACCTGATTACAGCCTGCTGTGAATCCAAACTCGAGTTCGGAAAATCGATTCTGCGAGAGCAGCAGGGCTTGTTTACGCACGGCGCCAGCAGTCATAATCGTCTGTCTGTGGCAGTCACCTGAGCCGATGGCCCAACAGCTGTCAACCGGGCGGTCACCTGAGCCGATGGCCCGTCGTTGTCAACTGGGTCTGGAATACCCGGCTGGGCTGTGCAGACGACTATGAGGCAGAGAGAGAGAGAGAGAGAGAGAGAGAGAGAGAGAGAGAGAGAGAGAGAGAGAGAGAGAGAGAGAGAGAGAGAGAGAGAGAGGAGAGAGAGAGAGAGCGAGAGAGAGAAGAGAGCGAGAGAGAGAGAGGGAGGAGATGAGAGGAGAGGAGAACAGAGGAGAGGAGAGGAGAAGAGAGACGCCATGAAACCGTGTCATGACATGATCAAACGATGACGTATTGAGGAATATATTTACTGAATTTACGTGTTGTATGGAGCAGTTTTTGCGCTTAAAAATACCTATAACAAGTGAGCTTTTATCCGTCGTATCTGGAGCTTGCTTCATCATCTTCAAATGCGGATTTCAATAGCCATTCAGCCGCTCACTAAGTTGGCATGTTGTTCTTTTGACTTGCCACCGTTTTGTAGTTCGCCACTTTGGCTTGTCGACTTTGTGGTATGTCGCCATTTTTGCAGTTCGTCATTTAGCCTTTGGCAGTTTTGGCATGTCGCCATTCTTCCGTGTCGTAGTTTTGGAGTTTGCCATTTACCTTATTTGACTTTCTGGCACGTCGACGTTTTTGCATGTCGACGTTATGAAAGTCGTCATATGGCAGGCAACAAAAAACATACGGCAGGCTGTAAGTAGAATTTTATCGGGCTACCGCAGATAGCGACCTCGTGCAAATATGTTATTGAAGTATTTATGATGTGCGTCTGTTGGTCCACCAGGTAAAATTGTGAGCAAAACACCAGTCGCCCTCTGCCCCGTCTTCTCGCAAAAGAAAGGGTATAGAAGCAGTTGGTCGGCAGCCAGAGTCTTGAGCACTAGACGCAGCTGCCATAAAAAGATCGAATAGGAATAACCCAATCCATGTATACTTGGAGAACTTCGTGTTTTTGCTGTTACTGCGTGGGCTCGTCGTTTGTCATGTCGTCATTTGGCTATTCGCCGTTTGGGCATATCACCATTTTTCCTTGCCGCCATTTGTTCGGACATGACTCTTAAGTAATTCAACGACAGTTAGGCATTCGCCACTTTGGCATATCGACCTGTCAACATGTCGCCACTTTACTGCGAGTCGACTTTTTGTGCGGACACCGTTGCAAATGTATCATGCCATGAAACAGCGACCCAAATGCGTCCTGAAAGCCTTCTGAGCTCAACCTAAGAAGTCCGGAAATTTAGCCAGGCATCACGTGCATGTGATGCAACCGGTGATCCCCTCCCCCTCCCCCCCCCCCCACACATATTTAGCTTTAGCTTCCCACAAATGATGCTGCGTTAAAAGGGGATACAAAATGCCACCCTGATCGTTTGCCGGTGGCGCTGTGCTCTCCCGCGGCATTTCTCGAGACCATCAGATTTTGATCTAGCTTCAATCCTGCCTTCACAGGCAGGTAGATGTGATGTCAGGGTACGGCATCACAGTCGCCTGCCTGGATGTTACGTCGAACTGGTCACGCTCATTAACTAACAGACTAAACGCGTTGCGTGGAAGGAATGTTCAATACATCAACGCTGTAGCTGACCAAATTAGGCAAGGCCCTGAGCGATCGCATGCCACAGCGCAGGGAGTCGTGACACTGCACTGAGGCCTGATCTGACGAACGCTGGTCGCACAGCTTTCCAGACTCCCGTCGTACCAGCGTTGGGTATCACTCAACATGCGTCAGGAAGCACAGGCTCTCGCCTTTCATACGCCGGCGTCCGTAACCAGGAGTCTGACCCAGCCTGGATGTGGCCTGTGCCCGCAGACGTGCCGGAAGAGCGGCCATCGATATCAGGCCATCTGCCGTCGTACCGCCTGGGCGACCGGCTGCGCGTGAACTGCAGCTCGGGCCCGGCCATGCCGGCGCCCCACCTGACCTGGTTTATCAATGGCGAAGAGGTTGGCCCTCACCTCATTCGCGCTTACCAGCTCAGCGTCTCCGAATACCTGAAGTCGTCCGTGCTACAGCTCGTCTCGGAGGTGCGTTGGCCGAGAGATGATCGGGAGGGAGCCAGCCAGCGGAGATGCCGCCACCACCCCCTCTACTTTCCTCCACTGCCAGTTTCTCCGTATGCCTGTACTTACGCAAATCTCACTGTGGCGAGATTAGTTTTTTTTTTTACCTTGTATGCGATGCATACTCCTGGGGTTGCCTTTTCGCCGCAGTTCAGAACTGCGCTTGTGCATAGCGTAAGTGAGGATTGGTGACAATTGCTGTATAATTGTGTGATTTAAAAGGAGCTAAAATTTGTAAGTTGTGAAGTGTATTTGTAAGTTGTAAAATTTGTAGGCTGTGAAGTGTATTTGTGAGTAGCATTATGGAAATAGATAAGACAGCAGTTCTTACTCCTCGTAGACCAAGCAGCGTAGTGGATAGACAGTTGCGTTGATACTTCGGCAACACGCCTTTATTGAAACGAGCGTCAGCAGTGATATTCTACTACCACCACTGATATTCTACCCTTGGTGTTGGTTCCGATAAAGGTCAATCCGAATAATCCGAAATATCAACGCATTTGCCTATTCATTGTCTAGGTTTTTATGAGGAATAAGGCTATTACTGCCGTCTTATCTATTGGCAATTGTTTTTCTTCTATTATTATACCAAAGAATATGACGATTGGGGTACGCGCGTGATTTGTGGACTTCATAAGAGGGTATCAAAACATTCGTCTGGTGAATGCTAGCCCGCACCACGCTTTGTCATGCATGAACCGACTACTAGATCCACTTTGTAGATCATGAGTGGGTGCAGGAACAGAGGAGGAGGCAGCGGGGTTCATGGCCCCTACTTTTCAAGGCAGTGGCAGCAATGTTAGATCGCCGCGCTCTCCGCGGCGATCAAGCATCAGAAAGGCGCTCTCCGCGCCTTTCTGATGCTTGCTTGTTGTACATGCATGCCCATTTAGGAAGTTTACCGGCGATCTTGCCCAAACCGCACAGAACACAACTGCTTCATATGGTAAATGGTAAAATCTTATCTTTTCAGGTGATGCGAGCGGAATTATTTATAGGTTATCTTGAGGTTACTCTAGAACTAAAGCTCTCTTCTGTCTCATTATGTAGCCTTGGCTCCTCTGCATATCTGCTTACAGTCCCCCCCCCCCCCCCCGCCAGGAGTGGCGACACCAATTTTTAATCGTAAGGGGAGACGAGGCCGTTAAATCATCACAGTTGAATGAAAAACAAAATGGGTGCGAGGTCATGCGTCTCCTAACTGGCGCTCTTGTAAATGATAAATGGCATGCAAATTACGTACGTGCCTTGCGCTGCACTACTGTAAGGCATGGAGGTGCGCGAACAGGGAATGGTGGCAGAGGCTGAGACCCATAAATTCCGAAAAACTTTGGTCTTGTGGGCGCTACCTGAAGAGATTCACGGAGTTTACATACTCCTTCCAGATGTGCGCCACCGCCGTTTATGGTGCGGTCCGAAGCACAGCAAACGTTCCCTGACGGGATGCCCTTAGACTGGTAAAAACGACTCCGCCATGGGCTGGATCCATTCGATTCAGGCGAACGCGACGTGCGTGATACTGCGCTGCTACTGCGTTGATCTTCCTGCGAGTTACGTCAGTCAAGCAAGCTTTTTTAGTCCCTGCCGCAAATGGAAACGGCATTCAGTCGTAGCTGGCCGGCAAGATCATGAGGAGGCGATCAAGTTTGACGACTTCAGGGACGTGTTCCCTCGTTGTGCTGTATATTATGGAGAACGGAGAGGGACGGGGGAGCGATAAATGCCTCCTTAGCAAATGACAAGGGGGCAGTTGCCCCTCCTGCCCCTCTTGCGGCGCTGTCCATGGGTATTTCCGTAGGGTTATTGCACGCAGCTTCTGCGCGACCAGCAATAAGAATGCCACGAACGTACGAAGGGGAAGATATAAATGCAATGGTCTCTTGGAGTTACACGAGTGACATATTACAGTGAAATGGACTTAAAACAAAATGCATCTAAAATGGTTAACTTTCATGTGTAGTACGGGTTAATGTGAAGTACGGGTTTAAATATCCGTGCCCGATTGGTGGGCGAGGGGTTATTGTTATAAACCCCTTGAAAAATTCGCCAACGTGCCCTGAAAAGAACCGACGCAACGCTCGCAAAATTTTCCCCATCAGTACCTCTGACACGTAGCCCAAATTTTACTCACGGAACCCATTGTAACATTTTCTCGAAAATGTTGCAAACATTGACCAAATGTCTGCGAAACGCCTAGCACCTGGTGTAAACCTTTCATCTCAGGGACTATGTTTCCCGTAGTCCCATCCTTGGCTTCGTAAACATTCCCTTGAGCACGTTTTGCATGTTGTCCGCAATTTTTAAACACCATTTGGGATCCATTTATTGACACTGGCGAGGTCAGCTGCTGTAATTTTATACAGCAATGACTTATTGGTGTTATCTTTTGAACACAGTTTTTATCTCATACCTAATGACTTGTTTTAAGGAGTAGAGTTATGCTCAAAAAGAGAGTTTGGATAATCAAAAGCTTTGAAGCGCATTACGAATGTGTTTGACTGACAATGATGCAGAAAAACGGGCCCAGTCACTCAGATGCAATGGTCTAAAATTTCTGTAGTCACTGCAGAATACCTGCGGAAAGCAGGTATTCACATACTAAAACCCTGGAATGTGAAATTGAGAATAAAATTGTGCATGACCAGCAAATGCCCATAACGCGACACCTGCGAAGATTCACCATTTCTGTTCACACCTAAACCGGTTGCGGGCGTTTTAATTTGTAAACATTGACATTACACTAACCTGCGGAAAGGAAGGAAACAGTGTGTGTCGTCTGACCAGCTACGATAAGTCGATGCCTCCCCCCCCCCCCCCTTCCCGAACAGCCATGACCGTGGCTCTGTTTTCCGAAACGGGCCACCACGTCGAAAGGAAACGGAAGCTGTCAGCTGGGCGGTCAAGATCAGTAGACGTGGAATGCCCGGTCGCTGGCGAAAGACATGCACGCAGAGATGCGCGATGACATTTACTCTCTGCCTAAGAACCCCGCCGCGCCGGTGCCGCTGTCACCCAGGCCGGCATCAGGAGCGTGACACCACGTGAGAACAGGGACGGAGAGAGACGTGTCGTGCCCGCCCGAGGCGAGGCAGGAAAAGAGAGGACGGGCCATGCACTCCACGCGTCGACGCGACATCCGAGTTCTGGCCACGGGGTACGTCGTGGTGCCGAGCCTTGGAAATAGGACAGGCGTGCGTGGCAGCAGATTGGACGGCGGGAGCATTTCGGACGAACTACTTGATCAAGCAGCAACAAGGGCGGGCCGACCCAGTTTCGAGAATTTGTGAATAAAAAGGGGACATAATTTTGGAGGGGGGTGCGGGAAGTCTTGCGGAAAAGCCCCCTAGAGAGTCTCAAGATCCCAACCGGCCCGGCACTGTGTCTCGGGCGAGAGACGGGGGGACGCTGTAGCCCCATAATTAAAGACGGGGGAGGGCGCGGTATGTCACACGGGAGGACGGTTAGGTGGACTGCAGGCTGACATGTGACAATGATTGTAAATAGCATAAATAAACGGTTGTTAGTCGCGGTTTAATTGTGCAACAATGAGGCGAGCACCTTAAATGAAGTATGTCCAGGCAAATTGTGATTGCTCATTGTGCATGCAGGATCGTGGGGAGTTTCGATTTGCGTCCATCGGTGTCCTTTAGTTTTGCAAATTCTCTTTCACTGACCCGGTATTTTCAATTGCCCCAGTGTTTTGCTGGCAGCTCAAAGTTATCGGGTGACCCTAAAACATGTTTCACCACTAATTTACCGTTTGTATGGCGAACATATCGTAAGTTTCAGCAAATGTCCTTTTCGATAAGGGAGCTCGTCTGCACTCTCAGGAAATTTCGAACACTTCGACTGCGGTTAATGTACAAGCGCGGGTTTGTTAGAGTTTTAAGGAAGGAATGAGAAGCGGCATCATTATCACGGAGTGAATAATCGAGTCGACTGTCATTCTCGTCTGGTGTGTTTGTTATGTAATCAAACACACCAGACAAAAGCAAGGGTTCGAACACTTATTCCATCCGAAATCCATTTACTTACATCGAATTTAATGTGCGCTCTGCGGTCGACCAGTGGCTTATCCTGGATAATTATCTAGAACGCTTATTTTTCGGAATAGCATTTAGTGCTGCGAATAGTAGAATTATGGCAGATAACTTTCCAGGCTGAGCTCAAGTCTCGGATTATTTTTAGAGCTTGGTAAAGGCGGGAAATGTTGTCTTCACCATGCCTAGCTGTGATCATTTACCATGCATGGCGACCTGTGAGGAAACTGGTGGATGACTTCAGGGCCCGCAGAAGATAAATGGAAAAGTGTCCGTGGCTGGTTATCAGCGGGATGATTATTTGAACAATATCATCGCGGGGAAACGCGCCTTCCTAGATTGGATATGATGTTGGGATTGTACCACTGTGTTGAATATATGTATTTCTATTCACAAGTTATTAAAGGCTAGCCAGTGATGCATACCCACTTTCCGAAGTTTTTGTTACATTTCGATGTTCTTAAATGTTTTACCAAGCATGTATGTGAAAGCTGCTTTTACACTGTCCAGTGGCAACCTTGTAGGAATTTTAGCTTCATTTGCAAGTTACTCTTAAAGTACATATCGGTTGCTGGTCATTGTTAAATAATTCAGTGCTGCCTCGGTTTGGTCCATTTGGTCCATGAGAGGCTGGTTGGTATACACCATTGTTATCATTGGTAGAAATGATGGGCAGGGAACTTGATTGGGGTGGAATTTCTCATTTTTTTACCAAAATGCATGATACGGGCCATAGTTTGATATTGGTAGAAGTGATGGGCAGGGAACTTGACCGGTATGGAATTTCTCGTTTTCCACCGAAATGCATGATACGGGCCACACAGTTTGATATCAGACAATGGACCATATTTGCATATTTGTTATATCATCTTTGCTTGCCTGTCTGGGCATTGGCACATTTGTTATAAATCAGAGTTTGTAATT